CCATTGTTCCTAATATATTTGCTATTCATTGACGTAATCTCTCCTATTCTCAATTGTTATACAATCTCTCATATACTATTATGGATATAAAATTTATTATATCCATTCAGACCTAGCACTATTAATGTAATATATTTGGCAATTATTATTACATTCAAACCTAGCTCTATGAATATAGAGTTTCAAGTTTCTTTTGAGCTCAACCGTCTATGTTCAAGCCCCAAGGTTGTAATTTTTACTTCTTTTTTTTTTTACTTTAGTTAGATACAATTACTTTGTGAAAAATTTGAAATCAGAATATTTTGAAACCAACAACTATTGTCCATATCAACATTTAAAATTTTGTTAATCTTTTTTTTGTTTATAGAGAACTTTTATTTTTGTAAAGTAACATTATTTTTATGTTAATCAGAACATTTCTGTTTTAAAGTTGAATTTGTTTTATTTTTACAAGCTTTTCCATTTAATTTTTAAAAGGATAAATTGAAATATATGGATAACTGGATATTAAAATTACAACCAAATTGGAAACATTGAATTTTACTTGATAATTCTAACTTTAAACATCATCAAATTTTATAAGTCAATTATTATTTTTATGTTAGTGGCACCTAGAAAATAAGTTTGATAACAAATTTAATGGCTTGAAGCTAAAGGTGGAGAATAACAGAAGAGTTAAGAGATTATTATTATGGTTAAAGAAGATAATAGGTGAATGAGCAAACATATTATACTACAAATGTTAGAATTTTGTTGTCGTAAAAAAGATAAAATAATAGAATTGATTTTACATTGATTGATTGGTGTTTACATTGTGTTTTAAAATTTAGTTCCAATGAAATAAAATTAACTTTGTGAACATATTTCTAACATATTTTAGTATGGGATGACGTCAGGGGGCAATCAATAGATTTAGTCTAACATATTTTAGTATTTGAATTAGAGATTCAACGGATTGTTGTCAAAGAAAAAAAGGAACAAGAGAGGTAATTTAGAGTTTAAGAATAAAGCAGTGAGTATAATATACTTGAAAATCAATCGGACCACATGCTAGAAAGGTTTTCTGTGTGGTTATATCATCAAATGTATCTGAAACACTAATAATCATCAATAACTTTTTAAGTTGAAATGTCTTTAATGGATTTTGGACATATGGCGGTAGTTGCAAATATTCAACAAATTTAATCCTATGTGAGAAAGTAAAATTTAAGTATCATGAGTCTGGATTGAAACTCCACAAATTTGAAGTAATTAAATTGGGTTTTCTAATACTTTTAAATTTTATAGTCGATTACATAAATATGTTTGACAAATTGTTTTTGAAGAACTACAAAATTCGTTTAATGTGGAACTTTTATATAATCATCAATTGATTTTAAACATATAAAGTTACAAATGATCTGAGTCGACTTTTGTCTAGAGAATACATTGAGAGTAGAATATTTATAGAGTGGATCAAAAAACAGAAAATCCGAAGATGCATGCCAACTAACTTCAATAAAATGTGGACTGAACAAATACAAATTACCGATACAAATTCGTAAATTAATTATCTAATTCTCTACAATTGCTTCATTTTCTTACCATTATATTTTTACATTTGTATATGTCAATATCTTCTGATTTGAAAATTAGAAAATCCAAATTTATATTAATTAAACTCATTGATAAAACAAACCCACACGTAACGTGGATATAAAATCTAGTCATATATATAATTAGGGACTTTTCTCTCTATATAAAATGTCCACATAGGCAAAACTATTTTTGAAAACCTTTACGTTTAAAAAAAAATAATTTAATACACACTAAATCATATTTATTTGTTTTCTTATAACTAATAAAAAATAGAACAAAATGAAACATTAAGTAAATGATCGAAAATAAAAATTAATAAATTTAAGACTAGAAAC